GTCAAATTACATCAAAATATGTTTCAAAAAAGTTCAAAAAAAATCCTGTTCATTCATCTCAGCCCATAGCTTCTTCATCGAAACTAAGTTCAAATTCAACAGAAAAAAATACTCGGATCTTCCAGATTGACAAAAATGGTGAAGAGTTTGAAGTTACTAAAAAATTAAATTCAAATTTGGTTTATTGCATATATTTACCAAATATTTGCAATGAAAAATTGATTCCAATCAAGTTACCGATCTTATTCTGTGTTGAAGAATTACAGTTTTTGGAATTCGGATTCGATGTGCCATTTAAAGATTACTTCGATCATCTCAACAATGTGTTTCAAGTTGAAATCGGAAATTTCATTTTCTATGGACCAATCATCTCTACTGCAATTAAGATAATATGAAATATCATTTTTTATTAATTTCAATTTTATCATTTCTTAATCTCAGAAACCCCTTTAGAACTGAAAACTACTTTTTCAAAGAACATTGAAAGATATCCAGATTGGTTGGGTTGTGAGAAAATGGTCGGTAACTCGAAAGTTACATTGAAAATTGAACACTGTCCCCTTGCTTCGAATGGCGATATTGAATTCATTCCGATGGATGAAAATGAATTGCATGAATTGAAAAAATACATCTGTGAACTCGACCAACATAAGGAATCAATTCGTGTCAAAGATTCAAAGAGTAAAGATCAAGTTCAACGTAATGAATCGGTAAAGCTGGACAGCTCTGAAGTAAATTCGTGTTTGTGTGCTAATAATGGTACGGTTCAGCAAACCCTGGACACGATTAAATTCAAGCTCGATCGTCTAAATGAAAGAAAAAAGTTACTCTCAGCCCTTGATATAAATGGTTCGGTTTGTTCTGAAATGATTGATGTTTTCACAGATATTTTTAAAGTTCTCTCAATGAACGAAAGCGAAGAGAAAAGTTTGAAAATTCAAATACCAATCAGAGATAATACATACAAGGATGAAAAAAACAACAGAATTTTTATCGAGGGTAAGGTCAAATTTGAATTGGATAAATATCAAATTGCGATCATGAAAACCAAAACAAAAAACCCATTTTCACTAGCATATCAATTTGTGAAATTGTGTTTCCCAGAATCATACTTTTTGAATGTTACGCTTGGAAAGAAATATTATGACAAGGATGAAATTCGCGAAATGTTTGCTACGCGCAAAACTAGCAAAGAAAAGCTTCCTTTAGCTTTTGTTTGGGGTTTTAAAAACCCGTTTGACCATCCTTTAGAAGAACCATTTAATATCATTCAAGGTCAGGAAAGGGTACGCGCATTCATAGGTTAGTGAAAATATTCTGATGAGCATGAATGTATTCTAATATCCATTCTCTATTGTACAGACCATATTTTTCGAAAATCAGATATATTGGAATACACTGCGGAGCTTGAAAATAAAGTTCGAGGAAGATTGGTAAAAGAACTTTTCGCTCGAAACAGAACCCATTCCCGTGATAAAGAACAAGTTAATGATTCTGAAGAACAATCTGATGGAGATGTTTCTGAAATTTGGGAGTCGAATTTGTTTAAATGAATAAAATCTCTTTCTTTTGATATAATTTCCATTCAATTGATATAATTCTTTGATATTTGAACTGACTTAATTTCTAATATAATTCATTAAATATTGAAATTAAAAATCACCACGTTATGAAAAATTTCTGTTTATTTCTGATTCAAATTGGCTCAAAAAACTTTTGATTCAAATATGAATCGGGTTGTCGTTTTTATCTATTTTTTTGACTCGGTTTTGAATCAAAACTGTTGGTTGGGATAATCTGACTTAACAGGTTAAGTGTAAGGGCATCGCCACTCGACTGCTGGCATAACTTGTTTCCTAGGCCTTCTGACTTGACACAAGGCATGAAATCTTAGCCATTTCAAGGTTCAACTTTTAATCCTTGAATTATTAGTGACAAACTTGGCCAATTTAAAGCTCTTTAATGTTCACCTTCTAATCATTGTTGCTTCGCCTGATTATTGTAACAAAATGAATCTGAAAAACAATTGTCTACTTAGGGCTCTTTTGCGGTTAAAGTTCATTAACCAACCGCTAACATCTAAATTAACCACGATATAAATATAAATATGTTAACTGGATAAAGTGATATTAGAAAACGTTTCCCTGTTAAATGTATAAAAATGATCTCTGTTTCATTTTGACGTTTATAAGTTATTTACCGACTCGAGGTGAATGCTAATGAGCTAGGTTTTGTTGGGTAAGTTACATGATGGATGATCAAAGTTGACCCCTGTGAACCATTTTGATCGTGTTATAAACAATCGACCTTAAGGGATCCATAAAGGGCCAGGAGAAGAAGAAAGGAAAAAGTTGAAAAGAAACCAAATTTGAGCTTCTTCAGTTTGAGGTTTTCCAAAATCAAGTTGATCAATAAACACAAGTGACCATGAAAATGAGCGTTTCAATTGTCTCATTAAACTTGATATAAACAAATGTAGTTTAATGAATAGCAGGCTAAAGATGTCAACATTGAAAGTGATGAAAAAATGATGATGATAATGATGAGGTGAGGCAAGACAAAGCTTGTGCCAAACCAAAAGCCTTTCAGATTAAATAAACATAAGTATCTGTGATTACAGTTGATCAACATTTAAACATGCGACAATGTAAAGAGTAAATAATGTTTCAAAATTAATCCATCGATTAGACTGAAGATGAGGAGTGAAAATTTGTAATGAAAAAGTAATAATGATAATGTTACGAGGATGGAAAACGAAGCGACTGGAAATATTCCCAAGACAGAGTCAGACGAGAGTTTATTTGGTCTTTGCATGAATAAATATCATCGATATTTTCCCCTCAACATGTATACTTGGTGATGATGATAATAATATATATTGTGATAAAGAGAGTAAAAAGGAAAGAAAATGTTTGTAGAGAAAAAAATAAATCACAATCTTTGTACATAATATTATATATTATATCGATTATTTATATCACTTGCAAATAACTGTAAATCTCTTTTCCTTTTTTTTTCTCTCTCTCTTCTTTTTTTTGCCTCCGTTCGACGGTCGCCATTTTTCATGATATAGATGCAAATAAGGTATTCAATGTTCACCTTTCCATTTAGAGGCTTTTCATTCTTGCATTTACATTCACTTTTCACATTTGCTATTTACATTTAAAGGAACCATCAAATTGGTCACAAGAGACGCAACATGAACTTGATCAACATTGATTTTATTTGCTTATAAGGCCATCTTTTCACAGGCAAAGAAACACTCTTTTTATTGCTCTAATTGACGGACAATTTGCACTCAATTTACATTCATTAGTTGGTTATAAACATTTTATCACACAATAATAACGAGACTTTGGAAACTTTTCCAGCTTTGCTTTCAACATTATTTGGGTTTTTGTAGTTTCTTGGGTTTACATTAATTTTGGAAATTTTAAGTTTCGAGAAACTGAAAAGTTTTCAAGTTTTAAAATTTGGTGGAAAAACTTTTCTTTTGTTCTGAAATTTTTGATAAGTCAAGTCGATGAATTATCGTGAATTTAAATTGGTTGGATTGATCGAATTACTGAAAATTGCATTTTTTGCTATTTTTTGCATTTTCTGTCTGATCGATTGCATTAAGGGAATGAGTTTTGAGCGGTTTTTAAAGTTAATGAGTTGATTAACAATCGTTAGTTTGATCCTTGAGTTGCATTATTAAATATCAAAAGTTTTTTAATAAAACGGTTGAATTGATGAGGGAAAAGATTATAGTTAATTGAATAAGACTTGGAATGAAATGAAAGATTAATTTGTATGTTAATCGGAATTGAGTTGGGAAAAGAGTGAAAACTAATAAAAATAAAACATTGGAAGAGGAGAGACAAAAATTGAGAGTAAAAAATGTTTCTCAAGTGATGAGAATGATGAAGATGATGAGATGATGAGATGAATAAGGTCAGTGGTGAAAGGCGAATGAATCTTGTAAGTTTTGGTATGTTAAATGTAAAGGATGACAAAGGATGAAAGATGATTTTCGGAGTAAAGAATCGATGAAGTTGATGAGAATGATAAAGATGGCTTAAAGGAGGAAAAGTAAAATTGAAAGGATGTGAATAGAAAGACGAAAAGGAAGAGAAAATGATTTAGATAGAAATGTTGAATAATATGAATTTTATTACATTGATTATTGAGACAAAGTTCATGATAAGTCTGTCAACAAAAAAGGAGCGAAAAAAAGTGAAAATTGAATTTTCACTTTACTCGATTTTGGACAATGCTGGGAACAAAATGAAGAAATGAAATTATGCAAATTCCCGTGAGGTTCATTGATAGGGATTAAAGTTGATTATTTGTTAACTGTTGCTGCTTATTACAAGCAATTGATTGACATTCAATGATTGAGTCGAACTCGATTTTTATGCAACAAAATTTACTTCTCTTGTCGCCAGCATTTCACGTGTCAATGGTGAAAGGTTGGGCTGATTAAACACGCATTGAGATGATCATTGGAAGAGAAAAGGTGAAAATTGTTTTTCCATTCAAAGTTGGGTGAAGAAGGAAAAGGAAGAGTAAACTCGAGTTTCTGTTTTTATTGTCTGTTCCTCTGTTTTTCCTGATGAACAATTGTTTATGTTCTAGTTTTAAGCTTTGAATCAATCAGGATTAAAAGGTAAGTTGAAATTTGAAAGCTTATTAGATGAACAAAGGTTATCCTCATCATCATCTGGGTTTGCTTCTTGTTAACTCAACATTTTGTTTTGTTTTTTGAGGCAAACAAAATTGTGTTTATCTTTTTTTTGCCAAAACAAAGATGAAAACCATTTCTACTCAACAAAAGATTCATCTTTTCAATCATCATTCTCAATTGGATGAAACAAATGAGATTGCAATTTATACTCCATTCAGTTTGTACTTTAATCCTGGATCCATTCAACCTTTCAATTGGACATTCATTTCAAAATTGCTTTTTTCACATTTGAATTATCGCTTGATAAAGGTTTAACAGTTAATCAACTTACCTGCAACTGGTGACAGTCGAGATACAATGGCCCATCGAGGTCTCCACTGATTAGGGTTAGAAAAGAAGAATTGAGAATCGAAACAATTTTTACATTTTAATCAATTTACCTTTCGAGTTCCTCTGAATTTGAGTTCACCTTCAATCACAATTTTAGGATCCATGATTTGGGTAAACAAGAGCAAAACAAATATCTTTTTTGCTTCTTCTCGTTCAGTAAGCACACAAATGGAAAAGCAAAATTGAAAAATTTGTTGTTGGTCACAAACACTGAAAGATGATTGCGAGACACGAAATTATTCAATTGTTTTGATGAGGCAAAAATTGTTTAATCAAACATTGTCATTGAAGTTTGATTAAAGTTGAAGGGAAACAGTAAATCCATTGAATGGTTCACAGGGCAAGTTTACTGATGAGTTGAGTAAAAGTTGATTAAACATTTTTAGTTAACTTTTCAAGTTTAATTGATGCAAGATAATTCAAGTTAATCCAAGTTAATATTGTCAGCTCTGAATCAATGTGATCTCATTGAAAGTTACAACAAGACTAAACTGTTTTCCCTCTCAAATGTTGAAACATTTTCAAGACAAAGATGGCGCTGCCTTGATGGACTACTCAAAGAGCATGAACTGAATTGAAATTGCAATCATTTTAATCAAAACTTATTTCATGAATTTGTTATTTGTTCAATTTGCTAATTACTCTCAAAATGATTTCGAATGATGAGCAGGTAAATTGCTAAATGCAATAAAATTTTGAGTTCTGTCGAGGAAATTTTGTTCCATAAGAAACTTGATGATGTTGATCGGGTTAAAATATTTCTCGTTGCAAAAGGATTATTAATTTCATGTAATTTTTGCTTTTAAAATTAGTTTAACTACATTTCATTGCAACTGTAAATTTTAAAGGTTATGGGAATTTAACGTCAAGAGGTTACATCTGGTGGTGTAAAAGTAAAACTAAAATTTCAATGATTTCTTGAGAATGGATCTTGTTCTTGAATAATGGATGAAAACGATTAATCTACTGAGTCACATAGATTGATCCATGTTCATTAACTGTAATCGAGAAGAAAACCATTTCTCTGCCTCATGCATACCAATTTACAGCTACGGTGACGATCAGATCAAGTTCACAGCAATTAGCAACTTTTTCAGATATTTTTGTCCGAATTTTTTCAATTCTTTCAGATAAGAGGCTATATTTTTTTATTAGTCATATTCAGCTTCACAATAGGCCAAGAACTTTCAATAGAACGAGCTTGAGACAAATAAGTAAACCCCTTAAAATATCTAGACCATGCCATCTCATAGACGTCCAACCAAGTCTGTAAATCTAGCAAAAGCAGCGAATCGCCGGAAATCAACGAAATTTAGTCTACTTTTAATATAAAATTAATCAAAAAATTCAATATTTTATTCTATAATTCCATTCCTTTAATATACTTGTTAAAAAACCATTATTCAGTTCAATTCATTCCCACTCTTTTTCAGGACCCTTTAGGTTTAGAATTGCATATCGAAAAGAAATGCAATTTGTTCATTTCGAACTGTATGAGACAAGCTTTATTGATTAATGGCTCATCTAATTATTTCACTCGATTAGTGAAATTTTCTTATTATGCAGTTTTAAGTAGCTTTTTATTTCATGGAGTTTAGTTCATACTTGCTCAGTTAAGGTGAAATGCTGAACTATCTGGTTATCCCCAAACTTGAACACTTCCACCATTTTTCTCCTTCACTTTTCCTTTTTCGTTCATCTGATCACAATCTAAATATTTTTCAATGAACTTCGTGTTAAATTGTTTGTTAAACTCATCTCAATTCATCTAAACCAGTACAACTTACAGTTAGTTGACTTTCACTGATTTTCTCACCGATAAATTTACCTTCTTGTTAGCGACCCTTTACCTTAAAAGCAAGTCACTTGAGGTCAAATTTGCAAGGAAGCAAAACTAGATTAACTTGTTGTATGATGATAAAAAATATGAAAGTATCTTTCCAATCCATCAATTTGTTATTATTATGAGTTGAAGCTGATAACAAACCAAGATATTGAAAAAAACTGTTTATTCACCTCAGTGAATTTGGGTTCTGTTTGCGTCTATTACGGGTACAATGTCAAACGATGAGCTTGATCGTTACATGGTAAGTTTAATATATTCCTACTTTTTCTTATTCGTTGTAATATGTTAACTCGCCAGATGAGGCGCAAGTTGAGTTCAATGTTTCCTTTAAAACCTGTCCCCTCTGTTGTAAGCCTGAGCAATGTTATTTTCCTATCTTTACATGTGTTTATCTTTATCACCATGTTTGAATATTTTTGTAACTATCAATGTGATATAACGTAAATTTTTTATTCTCGCCTCTGTTAATATGGCATTATAAAAATTTTCAATGTCCAGTGTCAATTATCCAACAACCATTTAATGTTTTCCATGTCTTTAGTTTTCTCTTGAAGGTTACCTGCGTAAAGTTGACTCTTTACGACACTTGCCAAGGAGGACATTATGTAACTCGTTATTGCCCAATTTTGGTCACATTGGATCCATCTTTTTGGCCAACTATACCTGTCCACAAGCTTTGAGAGGATTACAAATTATTATAAAGCTCATTTTTTATGCCAAAGAAAGCAATACCGTTGAGGAAGCTGACTGTCCATCATTGCATGATTTTATCAACCAGCTGCAAGATCATATTATCAGTGGGAAAATATCACCGTTAAGTGATTTTGAGACTCAAAAATTAACCTACTTACTGCCTAAATATCGCAACACCCAAGTGCTGACATTAATCAAGGACTGTCTAAAGAATCCTGTTTCTGTTAATATCGATGACTGCATTCAACGGAGCAGTTTAGTTGAAGACTGTGGTAAACTTAACCTGCTGTTTTTTCCCATCATCTTGACATTTTGTGACATTCTTTCACAAACTAATGGACACTGGTTTATCGGTAAAATTATTGGCAGTTTTAAAAGGATTGTAATCAGTCGTGTCAATGGCAATGTCATCAAACTGTTTCCATCCCATCTACACCCATTCCTACCTCATTTGGAGCTTTTGGACCAACAATTATCTCCACAAGCTACTAGCTCATCGCTAATTCCCAATCAAGCTGCTGATAAACTCTGTCGCAACCTAGATAAATCACAATCTCTCGGAATTTGCAAATGGTACGAAATAGTTGCCCTACTGATTTTATATCCAGTGGTAGCAGATTTTTTGGTAACAAATAGGCGAGAATGGATTGAAAAACTACGAAACTAAAATCGAAATGAAGCCTTTTCAAATAGGGCTGAGCAAAGATCTTCAATCGATCAATTCCAGCTGCCAATAAGCCCATATTTTGCTATCATTCACCGCAACAGGTTACATTATGGCGGCAACTATAACCTGAAAAATTTACTGCATCCTTTGAATGTCAAAGGAGTAAAATATTTACTTATAAATGAAACAAGTCGTCCAATTGAACTGAAAACAATAATAAACTGTGATCTTTCAAGTTGGTTTGGTTACAGTTGGTTACAACAAAAACATTAGGAAACAATTTATTGACATTTTTACACATCTACGAAACATTCAGAACACATCAAAAGCCGACTTCTTTAAATATCATTGATTGATATCGACAATTTTTACCAAATTTTCTTAAATCTATTCGAAACAACTAAATTTTCATTTCAAATCATTTTGTAAATATTGAGCCAACGTAATAAAAAACATTTCAAATAATGTTACTCACTTGACTAGTTATCATTTTCCTCACCAGACCTCACTTCAAGTATCATAATTGCGGTAAACTTGAACTTGATTTAAATGATGAAATGACTGACAATTTGTCAATAAGCTCAAGTTGACCTAAAAAGGCAAATGAAAATTGATTGATTTTTCAAAGTTTCAAGATTAATCAAATCATGAATTGTTTTTGAACCAAAAAATGGATCACAAAATATCCATAAAATGATGAAAAGTTGAAGCAATGAATGATATAAAATTCAAAATGAGCCAACATTTGAAAACATTTAAAAATAAGTGAAAATAATTGATAAAAATTTAAATAATTTAACTAATCAAATGACCTTGAACAATCGTATCTCGATGTGAAACAATTAACTTGAGTGAACTGAAAAAAATTGAAACGCCTCCAAATGAGTGCACTTTAATGTGATTCAATTGATGGAATTGTTAAATGTATTGAAATAAATGGAAAGTTGCGGAAATGAGAATGCTAATTGTAGCTGATTAGTGATTAAAATCTGGAGTTGATTAAAAATGCTTTCTTCATCTACTTATAATCCATTGAAAGCGCAATTTGAATCACTTTGTTTACTTGATTCACTTTTCTGGTTACTTAACGTAACCTTTTCAATAACAGCAATCTTGCTACACTTTGTGCTCATTCAATCAATAGATTGACCCAAATTCAATTATTATATTTGAAAATAATAATAATATTTGGATTGTTTAACAACAATCAAATGAAGGAGAAACTAAAAGTTGTTTAATAAGGTTTAGTTTCATCGATTGATTCAAATTGTTGTCAATCAATGAAAGAGGTAACATTATCTAATCAATATCAAGGTTAATCTTTGACAATAATATTCACCAAACATTGAAACATTAACTATATCAGCTCATCAAATTATCAATTAATTGTCATTCAATGGAACAATTTACGGAAATTGTTCAAAAAATCAATGGTTTTACAGTATTTTCTGTGTTCGAGGAAATTGTTTCTGAAAAGGTCAAATGTTCGAAGTTGGTTAAATTTGCGAAAAATAATCATAAAAATTGTTTAATTTTTGCCTTTTTGGTAAAAGTCGAGTGACAATTTAGCTTGATCATTTGAATTGAGTTTGAATTTTGGGTTTTATTGAAAATTTTATTTTCTGTTGAAATTCAGGATTGTTGGACCGATTTCGATTATTTGTTCATCAGATTAAACTTGATCAGGTTTGGTGACTGATCATAAATATTTAAACCTGATTCAAGTTTTGATCAACTTGGATTAGGATTTGCTTTATCGAGTTATCTTGTGTAAAGCCATTCAATTTATCTCGACCAAGTGATAGACAAAGCATTTTGAGCATTTCGATAAATAGACTTAGATGAAGATCTTTTGTTCAACCTCGCGATTAACTTGACAATTTAAAAGTGAGGCTTAAGTCGAGATGAAGCGGGCGAAATGCAAAGTTTACCGATTGTTGAATTTGCGGTCGATCTTGCTACAGATTGTGACAAAAAAGGTTTGTTTTAAAATTGAAAAACATTAAACGCTAAATTAGTTGTTTTTTGATGTTATCGGCTAATGTCAAGTGAAAATGGTTTTGAGCTTCAATTTCAAGTTTTCATAAATTTTTCATTTCAGTTTAAAACTCAAGTTTGAACAACTTGGATAATAAAGTCAAATTGGATTGACAAAAACCGAGATTTTGATTTTCGACAAAACTTGAAGCAGAATAGGTCATTTTATGGACTTTTTCAGTGATCTTTCGAGGCGTTAAATCTGGACGAATAAAGCAACTTGAAAATTTCGAAGTTTGTGTAACTGGAAAC